CATTTTGGGACACATTCTAGGACAGTTTGAGGACCGAAAAGTACATTGCAACATTCAAAGAGCTGCAGAAAACAAAAGGATATATGTATAATTTGCATATTAGTCTGGGAGTGTGGATTGCTTGTCAGTGTGAACAAAACTCAGTCTTTAAACTAGCCTTTCCTAATCTGGCATTCTCCTGATGGTTTATGCCCACATCTACTAGGATTGTTCAGCCAGCAATCCCTGGAAACTCATGCACATATAAATGGGGACAGAGCTTTGATCACCTGATCCCATCTGCCTCTTTGATATCATTGAAGACGTGCCTGGATTGCAGGGGATGTTGCAATCCCCAAACATCTGGAACACACCCATTTGGAAATAGCTAAATAGGTTTCCCTAACTACTGTTTGAAATTAAGATATGATCTGTCCTGGAAATATCTGTTGCAAGTTGGCAGTATGTCTTTCATGAAAAATTTCAAGCTTTTATGGATTTTCAGATGGATAACCCCAGATAATCTACCAAGAAATATGAGGGATTTCTGCAATCATCTATGGTAATAATCAACTTCACTGTAAGGCATCCTTCTATAAAGAAGAATTGTCCTCTGGTTCAATGGGAGCATTCCTTCCAATCCTTCTTTATAAAAGGATTGATATAGAGGACAATGCTTAATTATACAAATGTTTTAGGAAATGTTTCAGCAAATATCGTATCTATTCTTCTTAAATTTGGCTAATCCTTCTTTAAAGCCATTTTAGCTTATAGCCATCAACATACCTTCTGGCAATTAATTCCATCTAAGATACTAATAATTGGTTGAGTATTTCCAACTTTCTTATTTACCGTATGACGAATGACATGTCCCATGTGACTTTTTTCTTATAATTAAAACTTAATTTCTCAGTAATTACAATTTTAATAACTCTTGGAAGCCTTTTCCACAATCAGTGTAGCAGTCTTTCTTTTCCCCACATTATTAAGGACAATTACAACTATACACTTTATTAGATGACTTTTTAAATAAAAAATTAATATTACAGAAATGATTATGAGAATCATGATGAAACAGGAATGATTGTAGCTATATGTGTTATATATGTTTTAATTTCCAGCACTACGCATAGAACAAATTGAGGATTTGAATGCCGGAGACATTTAATATTTTTATTACTTTTATTCAGGTCAAAGAAGAAATGAAAATTCTTGCTCAGGAAAAGGGTGTCAATTCCTTTAAGACGTTTATGGCATATAAAAATCTCTATATGCTTGGAGATCCAGAATTACACATGACCTTCAGTCAATGCAAACAAATTGGTGCAGTTGCTCTAGTTCATGCAGAGAACGGGGATTTGATTGCAGAGGTAATTCCCATGTTAAAGATGAACTCTTTAGTAGCTTGCAATCATAATATATGCATGAAATATTCAGTAGTTAATGGGCCTGTGTGAGGTGGCTTGGATTCCTCTTGCTAAAGGACATTGTTCCATGGGGTGGTATAACTCTTTTTGTCAAATAAGGGCATCTGGGGTGGGGTGTATGTTAAAAAGTCAAGATAGTGGCTGCAACTACATGATTAGAGCCCCACAAGTTGCCCTGATAAGGCATTGGCCTCACTTCACAGTCTTGCCCTGGCAACTCGCAGTGACAACTGAGGCAGTCAAAGAAGGTAAAATAAAGCAATCTGATAATTTTACTCTTGGAAATGTGACCTCCATCAAAGTAGAGCCTCCGAGATTTCCACAGCCCTAATAGTACCTTCTCATAGGTGCACACACTTATGTTAAGACATGGAAAGGGAAAGTTACCTGATGCGTTGGACACTCCATTGTGCCCAACTTCCTCCTTATTCCCATTTGGAGCATCTGTGTCTGCTTGAGGAAAGCAGTCCAGTTTCTATCTGTAGTTTCCTTTATTTTATTAGACTGCATGCACAGAGCAATGGCTGCAGTTTGCCCTGCAATTTCTCGAGACCTCTTCTGCTGCTGCAGAAGAACTTCTGTTGTTCTGCCTTACACTCAGGTTGCTTGAGAATTTCTTCTGAATTTCTTAGGTGGTATTTCCAAGCCTGCTTTATTGTTGGAGCCAGGCTTGATGATACGTTTTTCTATATTACACATCTATTATACATCTTGCCATCACTCTGGAGCCTTCTTGGATGTCCATATTTGCCAATCTAAAAAAGATCCAGTGGATAGGGTTTCCTGACAATGTATTTCCTTGGATTTGATCAAAATATGGGAAGCCAAGGAGAAGAGCAAAATACATAGACACACTTACTCCTTAGCCACCCCTAATTACATTCATTTTGAAAGAAAATTTAAATGCAAATTCTCTTTCATCAGGAATCTGGTAGAAAAAAGTACAGGACAGTCCGGATTTTTAATCTAGCTACTTCCCAAGTGGTAAGGTCTCGAATTTTTTGTGGTAGCCCCTCTCTTAGAAGACACAGGGGCATGCTATATCTAAAATTAGATGCGGGGATCAAGCTTGTGGATTTCATTAAATGTCTCATCTTTCTCAGATTCATTCTCAGTCCTGGGTCTCAATTCATTTTGCCCTCTTTTTGCAAAGTTTTCAAACTCTGTTGTGGTTCTCAGGTGACAGATATGTTTACCATTACCATAAACCCTGATTTTTTCCTACCACTGTTGTGGCGTTCCTGTCACACAGGTGTAGGCAAACTAATCACTCAACAGTTACAAGTGTGTCCATCATGTTCATGCTTTGCAAAGATTTGGAGGCAGTGTTTAGGAGCACAAGAAAGGGCACTTCATCTCTGCCAACCATTAAAGCAGCCCATCTTTTTCCACTTGTCCATCACAGCCTGAAAAAGAGAGATGCTGCTGCTTTAAGGAGCCCTCTCATTAAAGTCATTGTAGTTTTAATTTGTATGTATTTCCTTTTACATCAGTAATTAATTTTTCATCTTTTACTTACATCCAGGAAGAACCAAACAAAACATAAAGCTAATCACATAATTTGCCCTTTATGGGGAATTTTTCTCTTCAGAAATAGCCAGTAGAAATAGTCTTTGCTCCAGACTGGAATGCTGAATGGGTCGTAGGTGCTCCCATTGAGCCAGAGGACAATTCTTCTTCAGTACCAGCCGGAGGCAGAGACTTTTTAAATTAATGTCGGGAATGCCGTAGGGAGCATATATCTAAAGCCACGAGCACCTGCACAATCAGACTGCAGTTGTCAAAATAGTGAAAGCAGTGTCATGCTGCAAGCTCTGCCATTTTGGGATGTGTGTGTGTGACAGCACCACACACATACAAAAGAGGTAGGGTTTGCATCACACCAGTGCAACACTGCTTTTCTCAGACCTACTCATTTGACACATACACATTCTCTGTACACATCCCTAGCTAAAGTTCATTCTGACTTTTTGCCAGAAAAATTCTGCAAAGAATTGTTGATGTTACATGTAGTTTGACCCAGAGCCTCTCATCTAGTGGTTGAATATAATCCAATTGGTTTGCTGGATTCTCAGTATCATGGGGTAATCAATTTGCTTGTTAGGAAGCATGGAGCAAAACTTCCCTCTCCCAGGACAAGCAAATTAATGGGATTGTAACATTTACCACCATTTCTTGACTGAATCTCACTTCTTAGTTTTGCTGTTGGTAACACTGGCTTGTATCCACCATGACTGGCCTGCAGGGTGAAAAGAAGATGCTGGCTCTAGGAATAATTGGTCCAGAGGGACATGAAATGGCCCGACCAGAAGAAGTGGAAGCAGAAGCCACGTTGAGAGCAATTACCATTGCAAACTCGGTGAACTGCCCTCTCTATGTTGTACACGTGATGAGTAAATCTGCAGCCAAGGTAGTGGCAGATGCCCGCAGGCAAGGTAGGTTCCTTGCTAAACATGCTTGGATATTCTTATTTTGTTAGATCTGGGATCCCAAATATGGTTCCGCAGTCATCTCCACTGCAGCCTGTCCAGCTGATTGCCCTACAAGTTCTAATTCCCCCCCCCCATTCCTTATAGTGTCTTTAATTAAAATGAAGTGGACATGTTGCAGAATGAAGTCCCAACTTCTAGCATTA